CCTTACCCCTCCCCTCCCTCCACCCCCTTCACCCTTCTATTATTTGTCCTTTTAAATTTATTGTGACTTGTGTTTTTCCAGCATATATGATGTTTTGTTTATTGCATTGAGTTTTCTATGCGTCATTTGGTTTACTGTTGTTCAGGTCTTCTATATTTTTATTATTTTCAGGCTCTTTCTAATAGAACAGTTGAGAGAGGACTGTTGAAATCTCCACCTATAATTGTGGATTTGAGTCTGTCCCTAGTTGTCAATGTTTCCTTAATGTATTTGCAGCTCTGATAATAGTTGCATACAGATTTAGACCTTTTTTTTCTTGCAGTACTGGGGTATTCATCTGAGCGACACCTTGTGCCTTTTTAAATTTTCATTTTGGATCAGGGTCTCACTACGTAGCATAGGTTGGGCTTGCACTTTGGATCCTCTTTCCTCAGCCTCTCAGATGTGTCACCACACAGGCTTGACTTTGCTTGTCTGCCTGCCTTTCTTCTCCTCCTCCTCCTCTCCCCGCCATCCCCTTCTTCTTTGTTTTTTTTTTTTTTTTTGGTGGTGGTGGTGGTGTTGGGATCAGGATCTGGGGTCCAGTGCATAGCCTCACATATGTTGGGCAAGTTTTCTGCTGCTGAGCAATCTCCCCAGATGTGAGATTTAGACTTCTTGTATCTCATTAATGAATTGACTCTGTGCTCATTGTAAAATGTTCCTTCTTTATCTTTGGTAATAAAGATTCTCTTTATCTTTGTCCCCTCTTTAGCTCTTCTTCTTGCCTCTTTTTGTTGTTTATTGTGTTTTTTGAGACCGATCTCGCTGTGTAGTTTAGGCTAATCTTGCACTATGTAGCCCACACTGCCTTTGAACTTGTGGTGATCTTCCTCACCAGCTTGTGATCAGCCTCCTGATTACTGTGATTACAGGCATGCGCCACTGCATCCAGTCTTTTTGCTTCATATTGATGTCTACTTTGCCATATGTTAATAAAGCAGTGAGAATATTTTTTAACATGGGAGAAATAACAGCATGTTTATATATTGATACTCATGATCTATCACAGAAGGGAAAAATACTGGAGAGAAAGAATATTTGTGGAGTTGATATCCTTAAGAATATGAGGGTGAAATATTGTATTCAGTGAATTAGCTTCAAAAGCATGGGGAAGTTCTGTCATAAGAGGAAAGAGAATATACAAGAATGGCTACAATAACATGTAAAAGTGGCATTTGTATCTGTGTAGGTTTTCTTGTGAATACTTCTGTTGCTAAGTGAGACAGAAAGTAAAGTTATTTGGGGAGAATGTGATTGTAGGTGTTAGAAGTTTGAGGAAACAGTCATCTAGGTGAGCAGGAGTGGTAAGTAAGACTTGAGTATTATATTACGATTATCAACAATGAGGACCCATTTCAAGTTAGTACTCAGGAATCTATGGTTAGGTCAGCTACATCTTCATGCAGGGTGCAACACATAGTGGCCTATATTCAGATTTAATTAGATTCGGAGTTTTACCAGGTTCCTGTGACAAGACAAGGTCAAGGAAGCTGAGGATGTTTATGAGGGAGTGATCATATTGATGAGCCATGGGATTCTACACTGAAAAGGGAGGAGTAAGGGATAGGAAGTAGGGGAGGGATAGTGAAATTGTGTTTGAATCACTTCATTTTAAAAGTCTTGGTGTGGGGTTGAAGAGGTGTTAGACTTGGAGTATCAAAGGGAGTGAGGCAAGAAGATAAAGGTGATAGTAGGATTGTACAGTGTTTGAAATAAAGATTAAGGAAGTACAGTTATAGATGATGATAAATGAGAATTAAGGCATGTCATAGGGACGAGTGGATAAGCTACAGTAAAAACAGGATTCTACAAAGAGAGATTAAAGAACTGAGAGGTGAGGTTGGAGGATTAATTCTTATTAATTTTGAAGTTACCAAGTCTTAGAAAAGGTGATAGCCAAGAGCTGAATACTTAAAAGAATGAGGCAGAGAAATGAAGCAAGAGCTCCGAAGCTGTTTATTTTGGAGACAGTCTGAAACCAGCAATGGAACCCTGTTTTAATAATGTGAAAGTTTGGGAGAGAAAGCAGCTACTGCTTGAGAGGGCTGGAAGAGTAGTGTCCTGTGGTGAGAGCCATGTGAGTCAGTGAATTGTTAAAGTAGAGAGTATGGAGAGCTTTCAGTGAGGAGGTTGAAGATGGAGAATTCTGATGATTAATGATCTGTTTCATAGTAGTCAGAGAGAGTTGGGGAAGGAGTGGGAAATAGCATTAGATTGGTTTGATAATATGATATGGGATGAGAATCCAGGTGATAAGGGATAATTTAGGAATTTGAATGAATTTATTAAATAGTATAATGGAATTAATTAGGGCATTTCCAGCATATGTTGTAGTATTGAGACTGCTGATATTCAGTGTTGATGGGAATGTTGCTAGCATACTGGGGCCACCCTATTTTCAAATACACTTTTCATTTTGTGTGGTCAAGAGAAAAAGTGTTGCTAAAATATTAATTTTTCATTTATTTAAAGAACTTTAGATTGTAAGAAATTTAGATGTCATCCAAAATACAATTAGATACTATGAGAATGTGTGGCTGTAGCTCTGAAGGTTAGAATCCATTTATATGAACATTATGAACACCTGTCAACAGATTGTGTCTGTTAAGTAGTCATCAGACTTTTCAAGTTGATTAAATTAATGCACTTTGGTGATTTCTTAATTTTACTTTTGGCTAAGACATATAGACTGTATTTTTTTATGTATCTGGCCTCTCGAAAAGATTCCAGAAGTGATTCTGAGAACTAGGTTATATAAGAACTATATGTATAGCAGTAGAAACAGTAGGACATATGTTCAAAAGGAGGACTCATTGCAAGCCCTGTGTTCTAAATAGCAGTAGGTATCATTTTGTATTCCAGGCTCTGAGCTTCTGTTGTCCTCCAAACATGTGAGTGATGTAGGTTTTCCTGGAAGGAAAAATTTTAGTACTTACTTTAAATTCATTCCTTCTTTCTCCCTTCCTTCCTTTTTTTCATTTTTGACTTGGGTCTTGCTGTATAGTTCAGGCTGGCCTCAAACTCACTATGTTGTCCAAGATGGCCTCAACCTCATGGTGATCCTGCTGTTTTAGTCTCCCAAGTGCTGGGATTATAGGCATGTACACCGTGCCTACCTCTACAGTTTCTTATATTGCATATTTCCTGCCCATTGGAGTGACACATATTTTGCAGATATTTTCAGAAGTACAAAACAGTAATAAGAGTTACTTGTAATTCATCAGTTTAACTACTGCTCTATTATAATTTAGTGATTCCTTCTACTATTGTTATATATTCATTTATATCATTTCCTATTTAACATTTGGGACTGCTTGTTTGCTTGCTTGCTGCTTTTTTTTTTTTTTTGGCAACTCAGATCCTTGTGCTTGCAATTGAGGCGCTGGAACCACTGAGCTAAATCCCCAGCCCTTGCTTGCTTGCTTTACTGCCAAAACTGAATATACAGACTTTTTTTTTCTTCATGGTACTGGGATTCACACTCAGGACCTTGTGTTTGCCAGGCAGGTGCAGCTCCACTGAGCTACATCCCTGGCCCTAGACTTTTAAAATATTTAATGTTTCTGATATCTAGAAGAGAGTTTGCATTTGGTGCATGTTCTCATATGTGTGTGTGTGTGTGTGTGTGTGTGTGTGTGTGATTAATACTAGTTCCCATTTTGAGTTCCTATTTTCAGTGGACCAGATTCCATGGACAAAGTAAAGTCTCACTAATTTAAATGACAGAAGCACTTGAAGAAGGCCATTTGTAGAAATAATTATTAACTAGGCTTATATCACTTTTTTTCGGTGCTGGGGATTTAACATAGGGTCTTCACACGGAGCTACATCCCTATTCCTTTTTATTTTTAATTTTGAGAGTTTCACTATTCACAACAAACAAGAGAAAATTTAAAAGATACTGTTTCCATCTTAGATTGGTTGAAATTAAAACTGAGGTTATGGGAGTGCTTGCTTTGGCAGCACATATAAAAACTGAGGGTACAGGAATATTCTTGAGGCTGTTGGAAACAAAGGAGTTTATATAGCTGTTAGTGGGTATCTAAACTGTTAGGATATATACAGAGAGAGAGGGTACTTAAGCAGTATTCATAAAAATAAAGTGTAAGGATCAAAATGTATAATTGATATCGTATAATAGGAAGAAAAGGTCTAAAGGAGTAGGAAGTGGGAGGGGTAGGGGAAAGGTAAGAAGGGAAAACAAAATATGAGAAAAGCAAAAAAAAAAAGGAAACAAAGTCTTTGTAAATAGTGAAGGGTGGAGGGGGCGAAGGGAGGGCACAAGGGAATGGGGAAATAATAAGAACCAAGATACGTCATGTAAAGGTAAAAGATCCCAATGATGAGTGTAACTGTATTGTATACCTAAAATGTACCAATAAACATAATGGAAAAAAGTACTTAGTATTTTTACCTTATTTTTCTACTTCCCCTTTGTTTTGTACTGGCAACAACATAAATGTCCTGTAATAGTAAAAAATGATGCAGTAGGAGCATCATCAAACTAAAGTTATTCTTGTGCTCAGAATGTTTGATGTAGCATTCATTTCCTAAATGGTATAGTTTTTATCTCAGTACCTTGTGTTTTTTTGTTTTTGGGGGTTTTTGTTTTTTTTGTTGTTTTTTGTTTTTTGGTACCGGGGATTGAACTCAGGTCTTTGCACTTCTCAGTACCTTTTTGTTTTTCCTTTTACTCTTTGCATTGTCTATAAACATAAAAAATCAGATGCCTCTGTCATATCTAGTTTTCTAATTCAAGAGTGGGGTTGTGAAGCTGAAGCTTTAAAATAATGCTTAATTTTTTTAAATAATGTTTAATTTTTATTCACTAATATGAGAATGCACTGTAAATTAAATAATAGAGAAATGACATTTTATATAAGAAAAATGTTGGTTGTATACTAATTGTAGTGAAATTCTTGAACTGTCTTGAATATATTTTTTATTCTTTTAAACAGTTCGTTTTCCTGAAGATCTTGAGAATGACATTAGAACTTTCTTTCCTGAATATACCCATCAACTCTTTGGGGATGAGTAAGTAACTTAGTATGATAAAACAAAACAAATTCCATTCTTTTTCTTTAAGGTTTGGAAAACATTTTATTTTTATTATTGTTATTGTTCATGTATTTTATTTTAAAATATATGATTAGAATAGTATTTTTTACATTGAGACCCTTGTCTGTAGTTTAGTATTATAAACACATTATCTTGTTCACTTCTTAAAACCGTATTAGCCATGTTAGTATTACCGTATTTGTTACTTTATCTGTCCATGGCATTGCGTAATTTCCTAAGACATTATTGACTCCAGAGCCCATACTTATATAATGACAACTTATTTTTCACCCCTCTTTGTTTGTTTTTTGTTTGTTTTGGTACTGGAGATCGAACTCAGGACCTTGGGCTTGCAAGGCAGGCAGCGGAACCACTGAGCTAAATCCCTGGCCCTTTTCCCCTTCTTTATTGAGTGCTTATTCCTCTAAACTAGAAAGAAAGCGCCAGTTATTTTGCTATTAAATAAGCAGTTAGAGAAATTAATTTTTTGAAATAACTTAAAAAATAAGCCCTAGGGAGCTAGTTGTGATGGCATACTCCTATAATCCCAGCATTTGGGAGGCAGAGGCAGAAGGATGGCCTGGGCTACATAGTGAGTTTGAGGCCAGCCTGAACTACAGTAGTGAGACCCTGTCTCAAAAAACACTCCCAAAAGAAAAATAAGTCCTAGGATATTCAGTACATTATTTGATTTCCTCTCACTTTCACTAATTATTATAGTTATTTACAAATTTTCTTTTTTAAATATTTAATTTTAAAAAGTTAAAATTCACAGAAAGTTGTCAAAATATAAAGTAAACATGGTATCTCATTAGTGATTCTTAGCCAGCCCTGTTGTTCTTTTTTTGTGTGTGCACATTACTTTCAGAATTCCTGGAATGGACAATGCTCATATTTTATTTTTCCTGGACAGAAATCTGGAGATGACCCTGCTTCTTTCAAGTATTCTTTCTGAACTTAACAATTGTTTGTTTGGGAGTTTTGTTTGATTGGTTGGTTGGTTGATTTATTGAAACAATCTCTCTATATAATATAGGCCAGCCTTGAAGTCAGTGTACTTCAGGCTGGTCTTGACCTCACAGTTCTGTGTTAGCCTCCCAAGTGCTAAGATTACAGGCATGTGCTATCATGCCCAGCTAGAATTCATTTTTTAAATAATCAGAACAAGGCTCAGACAAGAGGATTGCAAGGTCAAGTCTTGCCTGAATCACTCAGCGAGACTCTGTCTCAAAGTAGAAATAAATAAAGAGGGTTGGAGATGCACCTCAGTGCAAAGGTCCTGGGTTCAGTCCTCAGTACTGCAGTCAACCAATTCATCAGTAAAATGATCATAAAACAGCTTTTTTGAGATATAATTGCATTGTGTAACCATCATTATAATCAACTCTGGCATTCACTACTTTGTAGCTCTGTAGAACTGCCTATTCTAGGTATTTTTAAAATTCACTTTTTTTCTTCACTTTTTAGAAGATTCTTTTTAAGCAGGAAAATGGAACGATAAGGATTTATAATAGCAGTGAACAGGACTGGAAAAATTAGCAGCTCCAGATCTGTTCTCTGTGTTCATAGAAGGGTTTGTGTGCACTTAGATGGGTGCTATCACTGCTTTCAGCAGTTATGGATGTTAGTGACAGAAATAAGTGATAAGTTGAAAGGACTGATCTAAGGCTAGATCTAAGCGCTTCCTTAGTCAGGTCCTACTTAATCGCTGTTTTTCTCATTTGAAATGCTTTAGAGTAATAATAGTAGCAGCAGGCATAGTAGAAGTCATAATAATATCTAACATTTATTGAGTATTTATACGGTGTGTTAGTAAATATTGTTAAGTGATTTACATTTATTCCAAGCAACATTCCTGAGTTAGAAACCTACTATTCTACTTTATAGATGAAACTGAGGTATAGTTTCATTGCAAATGTTTATTTTATCATTATTAAATAAATATAGCTTGCAATCTTAAAATTACCCATAAAGTTGTTTGTTTATATGTACAGTTAATACTTTTTAATGACTTTACAAAAACTTATTCCTCCCTTCCCTGCCTTGTTTCAGTGAAACTGCTTTTGGTTACAAGGGTCTGAAGATCCTGTTATACTATATTGCTGGTAGCCTGTCAACAATGTTCCGTGTTGAATATGCATCTAAAGTTGATGAGAACTTTGACTGTGTGGAGGTAAGAACAGAAATACATTTATTTCTGTTTTCCACTTGAGTTTCAGATAGATTTTTTAATTTAAATGTTTGAGGAAGAAGGGACTCTGCAATATATTAAAAATCACATAATCAGTTTTTATTCACTGAGATACGTATCTCCCTGCCATTTCAGTTACCCCTGTGATCATGATCCTTAGCCTTTTTGTTTCCTAGGTGGACCTTCTCTGTAAAAATTACCTTTTTTGGTTTTGGGGTGTGGTGTTTTTTTTGTTGTTGCTTTGTTTTGTTTTGTTTTTTTGGTGTACTAGGTATTGAATCCAGGAGTACTCTACTACTGAACTATACCAACCCCAACTTTTGTTTTTAATTTTGAGACAGAATGTTGCTAAATTGTCCAGACTGACCTCAAACCTCAACTTGCAATCATTCTGCTTTAGCCTCTTGGCAACCTTGGATTAAAATTGTGTACTACCTTACCTGGCCCAACTTTTGTCTTTATTGTAAACATGAAAATTAGTATCTTTTCTTTTAAATTAAGGATAAATGAAAATAGCTAAGTTTCCTACTTTTACTTTTGTGTAGAATCTGTTTCTCACTGCATCTCTAATCTCATAAATTTTGCTGATAAATTCCTTTATGAACATAATCAAGGTGGTTACATTATAAAACTGTTTTACATTATAAAACTTATGATCCCAGCACTCAACAGGCTTAAATGGGAGAATTACTGTGAGTTCAAGGCCAGCCTGGGCTATACTCTTGAGTTTAAGACCAGCCTGGAATACATAGCAAGAACTGTCTCAAAAAAAAAAACAACAAACAAACAAACAAAGCAAAAAACTGTTTGAAATAAGATTTTGAAAAGGACGTGAAGGCAGAGAAAGAGATTAAAAAATATACCTCTGTGGTGAGCTGAATAATGCTCCCCACCCCCATAGCCTTGTCCTAATCTGTGGAACTTGTCGATGTTGTCTCATAGGGAAGAGGAAAAAAAGCATTTTGCAAGTGTGGCTAAGTTAGGAATATCCGGGTGAGGCCTAAGTGCAACCACCTATGTCTTTATGAGAGGGAGGCAAAAGGAGATGTGATGGCAAACAGAAGAGGACAGTGCAGCATTACCCCGGAGGTAAAGTGATATATGGCCATAAGCCAAATGATGCTTAGCCATTGAGAAGCTGAAAGAGTTTAGGAATGGATTCTCATCTAGAGCTTCCAGAGGGACTGTGGCTCTTTGATAATGGCCAGTAATAGACTTTGGATTTTTGCCTCCACACAGAAAATAAATGTCTGTTGTAAGGTAACATGTTCGTGGGAGTTTGTTATAGCAGGTACAGGAAACTTAGATTTTTATATGAGGAAGTGAAGTGCTGCTGTAATAAATAATTAAAAATGTAGAAATAACTTTGGAAGTGGGTAGAGGCTTTTGGAAAAACATGTATTAACTTGAATAGACTAGGTGGAAATACAGATGTCAAAAGCACTGCTGGGCAAGGCTTAGAATAAAGTTAGAAATGTGAGAAAGAAAGCCTATGTTTAGAGAATACATTATCATAAACGTAATTTTGGGTAGAAATGTGAACTTTAAAGGCATCTCTGGATGTTCAAAAAAATGAAGACCATGTGTTTGGAAACTGGAGTAAAGGAGATCCTTGTTAATGGCAGAAAGCCTAGTGCACTGTGTCTTGCAGTTATGAGGAAAGAAGAATTGTAAGCACTGAGTTCTGGTATTTAGCTCAGGATATTTCAGGCCAAGTATTGAAAGTTTGGTCTGGTTTCTGCTTGCTTATAGTAAGATATGAGAAGGAAGAGGTAAATTTAGAGAGGAACTGTTAAGCAGAAATAATCCAGGATTTGACTTGAGAAATTCTCAGCTCATTCATGTTACTGAAGGTTCCAAAATTAGGAGATAAACTGTCAGAAAAGTGCTCTGGAGAGAAAGATAAAGGCATGGCAGGATAACCTCTGGCTACTGCTAAGGAGATTGGGCATGATATTCATGAATCTTCATCATTAAGCAAAGCTAAGAAAAGGGGTCTGGGAGGATCTGTGGAGGACCTTCTCTGTCTGATGGTGCAAACCCTTGTGATACATAAAGGGCTTTGACTTGGACTGACAGAACAAAAGAAAGGAAGGCTAATGAACTCCCCAAAATTTTGCAGCTATAAAAGTGATTCTGAGTGATACCATACTATAGTTGTGGTAATAGGATATTTGAAAAGACTTAAATTAGTATTTAACACAGATGTTTTTAAAATGAAGCTCTTCCATAATTAAATTTTATTTTTAGATTATTAAATTCTCCAGACCCAAGCCCAGTTAGTTTTTTTTTTTGTGAGACAGTATGTCTTGCTATGTAGTTCTGGCTGGCCTTGAACTCATTATATAGGCCCAGCCTAGCCTGGTACTGACAGCAATCCTCCTGCCTCAGCCTCTTAAGAGCTTGCATCATAGGCATGTGACAGCACACCTGGCTTCCAGCTAAATATTGTTAGAAAAAAATGCAGGTAATGTTTTTCTTTGTGCTGTACAAAATTCACTGTTTGAGGATTTTTTTTAAGCTAAAGCTGATAATGCTAAATTGATTTCTCCAAAGGAATTATTGATTTGGTTATTGATAAATCTTTCAAATACTACCTGCTTTGAAAATAGCTATGGGGCTGGGATTTAGCTCAATGGTGCTGCTACGTGCCTTGTAAGTGCAAGGTCCTGAGTTTGCTCCCCGGTACCACCCCCGCAAAACAAACCCAAAAGTAGCTATGTATTTGCATTGACTTCTAATTGTTCCATTCCTGAAAAGCAGGTTTTTCCATTTAGAAGTACTCTGTTAAGATGTAAGGAATCAATCTTTTATAATGTTTTTGTAGGATTACTAATTTGCTCCATAGTCAAAGATCATTTATGTGTAGTGTTGAAGCAAAAATTCTTTTCTCTATGTAAAGAGGAAGGGATTGTGGATGTGTAGGGATAATCAGCTTTCCTCTTCCATCTCAGTTTGCAGTGAGAATATTCATTCCAAAGTGCCTTGGTATCAAGGCAAAAACCAAGTCACTGCTCTCATTGAATTGAAGTTCTAGCCAAGAGAGTCAATAGAGAACTAGTAAATGAGCAAATTAAATTAAGATAGTGTTGTGGAGAAATATTTTGCTGGGATGACTTCAGGGGTTGACAAAGCTAAATAGTGTAGAGTCTTCTGTGCTATGTTCAGGTGTTTGTAAAAGGCAAGAGTAGTTAAGCCTTTAGAGAGTTTAAGTAGGTAAAGAATGATACGGTGTAACTGACATTTTAAAAAGACAGTTTCTGTCTGCTATGCAGAGATCACACTGCAGAGTGCAAGAGTGAAAGAAGGGAGACCAGAATATTGCAGTGTGGAGGAGACACTAGATTTAGTTATTAGATTGAGATTATTTGAAAGTAGAGCCAGTAGAGTTTTCTGTTGAATTAGGCATGATGGGTGAAGAAAACAAGAAGAACCCCATTGCCTAAGCAGTAATAGTACTATTAACTGATGTAGGGAAGATTTGAGAAGAGGTTTTAAGTAGGGAAAATCAAGAAATTTGTTTTGGATGTTATTAGGTTTGAGACTATTATATCACATTTGAATTTTTGCAAATGATGAGTGTGTAGCATTATTTTTTGAATATGAAAACACAGAAAATCTGCTTAAAAGTTAATTTACTTATTACATTTTGCCATTACATTCATCTTTCATCGTCTATTATTTTTTGTTTCCAAGGTGAGTACTCCATTTACACCTGAAATTCTTTTGCCACAATTTAGATGCTTGTAAAATCTCTTTTGAATTTTATAAATATAACAGTTTTGCTTTTTCAGACACTGATGATTTCTTCATCTTTGGTTGTTCCTTTGGCTTTTATTAATACCTTCTGCCTTCTATTTGGGGGCGATTTTATTGATTTTTTTTTTTGTGTGTGTGTGAAGGAGTATGTTACAGAAATTGTTCAGTCTTAACTAATTGCTAGCATTTCTAAGAAAGATTTGGTGGAGAAAGTTGAATATATAGGTAAGTTTGTGTTATCTATGAATTGCAATCATATCCACTAATATGAATTAAATTTGACATTACTATAAATGAGAATAGATTTGAAAGTTTTTTTGGAGCTGGTTGTGGTGGTGTACATCTGTAACCCCAGCACTCTGGCATGCTAAGGGAGGAGGATGGGAAATTCAAATCCAGGCTAGGGAGCTTAATGTGACTAAAATTAAACTACGGGCTGGTGATGTGTAAAGGTACTGGATTTAATCCCCAATATCCTACTCCCCCCAAATATCTGGAGTCTTTATCCTCTTTACAGAAAAGTCCTGCTTATTTACACAAAATTTAATATTGAGAGGGCCAGGGATTTAGCTCAGTGGTTCTCCCAGCTGCTTTGCAAGCATAAGGACCCGAGTTTGATCCCTGGTACCAAAAAACAAACAAACAAAAAAACTTAATATTGAGGAATGGAAAAAATAATCTTTGGTAGAAAATTTCTCTGACATTCAGATGTCTACATTTAAAACTTACAAAATATCAGAGTGTGAGATTGAGCAAAATAAAAAGATACAGAACTTTGCTTTTTTTGGTAGCATATCTTAGGTATTCTTAGATTTACAGTAATGTTAACACTATATGCTACTTTAATCAAGAATGGAATAGCATATTCTATCTACTAACATACTTTCAGTTCCATCCTCAAAAAAATCACTCTATTGTTTCTCAGATGTTTGGCTAAGATAAAAAATTACTCGCTATAGACAAGTTAATATAAATGACTAAAGAAGCCTAGACATTCAAATACAAGTGTAAATATTTATAATGTTATTAGTTATTTTCAGACACATTGCTTTATGCAGTGATGAGGAAAAACAAAAACTGTTCCATAGGAACATCTTCATGTGTAACAAAGCATAGAATACTGGAACTGAAAATGACTAGTGAGACAGTGTGCAATCTAAAAACATTTCATGTCTCATTGTAAAGTACTATCACTAAAATGGTTTATTTTATACTTTTCTTTTAAAAAAAAAATCACCAAGCCAGGGATTTAGCTTTGTAGTTCCACCACCTGCCTCGCAAGCACAAGTACTCGAGTTCAATCCCCAGCACCCCCATGCCAAATCACCAAATGTTAGGGAAATATTTGTAAGAGATATCTTTATTAATTAAAATATCAAGTTGTATTCTACATTCTTCATTTATTCCTCTTAATTTCTTACCCTTTCTGTATTTCAAGTTTAGGCTAGTGTTCCTGAAGATAAAGAATTTTTCAGGGATCTTCACAAATAGAATCCAAAATTTTATCTACAAATGTTATTAGAACTAAAAAGCATTAGTTCATTTTTAACTCTGTACTCAATTAAAAATTATTAGATGGGATTTTTCTGTAGTGATGATTTTATTATCAGACCAGTAATCCAATATGAAAAATGAATACTCTAAATTTAACTGAAGTGAAGCATATATTTTAGGAAAGAGCTAAGATGTTCTCGTGTAAAATCAATTTAATAGAGAAATACAAACTTTTTTTTGCTGGAGCAAAGATCTGAATTCTAGGTTTGAAAACTTACATGTTTTAGGTAAATAGATGCATATGTATATATGAATGTTTACATACATATAGACAGAATTTTTGCTTTTAAACTTAGCCTTTTTTCCTCTGTATGAAAGTTTGTAAATGAAACATAGACTTGCCCAGAGAAAAATACTTTATTTGAAGGTATATATTAAAATAAATAAGTATTCTTTGAAGAATGAAAGTTAAATATTAATTCTCTTCCAACTTTGTTGAGCAAATCTTTGAGGAGCTTTGCCCTTTACCAGAATTACCACTGAAAGCTTATAGTTTTTGATAAATCTTTGAAGTAGATGATGTGTTACAATATAAATGACTTAAGCATACTTTGCAAAGCCTTATTTAGAAGACAGGATATAAGGAAATTTATTAAAGATTAAAATTATGTAGACTATGTACATCTTGAAATAATTGTTTTAAATTGATAATGCCTTTTTTTAAAAGTTTTTCTTGAAATTTTAAAACCTAAACAATTATATTATACCAATTTGCCCATTAATTACTTTGGATTTTAATTGTTAACATTTTGCAACTATCCCTTAACAATAATTTACTCATGTAGTTATTGAGAATATGCTTACAATGATCTCTTCACATTAGATAGTGGTGTGCAGGAAAAATGGTTATCAAATAGTGCATATTTTAAAAATAAGCAAAAAATAGTTCTATCAAATCCAGTTTGTTTGATCTTCAGGGTGAATGGATTGAAAGGACTGATGAACATACTAGAAATAAACTGTTGGCAGAATGTTAAAGAAGCTATATTTTAAATAATAGCTCTTATTTTTATAGCTATAAACAAATTATATATAAATGTTGGTGGTACCAGAGCATTGAAAGTGAAACTTGTTTGTGATAAACTCCATCATCCTTGGTTCTGTATCTTAAAATGTAACTGAATGATAATAAGTGCTATTCATCTGCAGGTGCATTGCTTCTACTTAGTTAAAAGATGGTTGAAAGGATAGGAATTAGTAGCATGTTGTATTAGCCTTTTGTAGTGTATTTTGTCCTAAGCATCTTAATTTCCCTGTTTTGAATGCTAAGTAGCAAGGGTCTTGGTTTAGAACTAATACCCATCATGCATGTAAACGGTATGAAAGAACTGCTTAGTAAGTTAACACAAAGTGTTCTTGTGTCAGTCCTTGTGGAAATAGATACAATACAAACATTACAGCTGAACTCACGGCAAACTCCATTAAGTAAAAACCTGGCTTCATTGTTCAGGAAAAAGTTTGAATAGAATGCAAGCTCATTTTGTTGAATGTAATGTCAGGCTTTTAGGGACTGTATTGAGGGATAAGGTTTTGTTAAGTTGAGACCAATTCATTAAGTTTTATTGCCTGGTGAGAAGCAGTAATACTTTATTGTAAGACTTCATCAAATATTCATGGTTAAAGAGAAGTAGTAAATGTATTCAATCAAGTGGTCTTTTGGGATTTTGAAAAGGATTATGAAGTCTGCTCAGCTGATAGTTTTAACATTCATTGAGGTTGTTTAATGAGGGTAATTTTAATCTCTGAGTTTAATTTTGTTGTCCAGTCTTGTCTCTTTTGTACTACCACAAATCCAGGTCTATAAAAATTATGTCACATTATAGTGATGAGTGGATAATATATCCATTCACATAATTTGTGTATTTCCTAAATGCAGATATTTTAAAAATTATTATCCTAATTTGGCATATGAGGGAGTTGCTGTCTATTTGTTCATTGTGAAGTTGCTATTCATTTGGTCAGAGTATAACCTCACTTCACTACTGCTGGTGATCTTTTCATGTCTTGGATAATGTGCTATATTTGACACATATAAAATAATAAGCAGTCTTGTTTTGGCCATTTCAGATTGTCATGAAGGGTTGTAGTCAGCATTTTTTAGGATGTTAGAAGTTTCATGGCACTGTCATTATTGTTGCACATGATAGGTTACCTGTCTCCTCTAATTTATTACATTATGCTCATCTCAGATTTGTGTGACAGTCTCTGTGCATATGAAACTAATCCTTCTTTAGTTGTCTGTGTGTTTACTTCTTTAGTTTGTGAGCTGAAGTTTTGTGATGTTTGTTGGTTTTGTCCTGTCAAAGAAATCAAACGTATTAAACTAAAAGGCAAATTTGTTATTAATTTTTTATGTCCTTTATCCTCTATTCCTTAGGCAGATGATGTAGAAGGCAAAATCAGACAAATCATTCCACCTGGTTTTTGCACAAACACAAATGACTTCCTTTCTTTGCTGGAAAAAGAAGTTGATTTCAAGCCATTTGGAACCTTACTCCATACATACTCTGTTCTCAGTCCAACAGGAGAAAACTTCACTTTTCAGATATACAAGGTAAAGATAAACCTAAATATTTCTTGGGTAAGGTCAATCCATTTGTCTGAAACCTATATGCAGTTTTGTTGTTATTTTCAGTGATTTACTGTACTTCAGGAAATAAGTTTTTTATTGGCATTAAAAACATCTCTGTGTGTGTGTGTGCGCGCATATGTATACACATTTAATCTGAGACTTCTAAACATTTTCCCACAGGATAGTTTTGTGTTTTGCAGACTTTCACTTACCTCTATGATGAGTTTCACCTGACTTTTCCTGGCTTTTTCCCTAGGCTGACATGACATGTAGAGGCTTTCGAGAATATCATGAAAGGCTTCAGACCTTTTTGATGTGGTTTATTGAAACTGCTAGCTTTATTGACGTGGATGATGAAAGATGGCACTACTTTCTAGTGTAAGTACAGTTCTAAAGCAACAGTAGACCTTATTACCTCCACAAAGCCAGCATTTTAATTGTGGCAGCCCAATTATTGGGACAGTATAATGATATTTTTCCCAGGAAAGAAAAACTATTGTTTATAAGGCTTGAGTTTTCCTTCATTATGCTTTAGGAGACCTTGAGAATAGAGCTGAATTCAATGCTGTTGTCCGTTAGGGCCCTGAATGTAGGCTTAAACAGTAAAATGAGCTTTGCCTGTGTTTTCTTTTACTTGCCACCTATTCATCTTTATAATAGGCAAGTGCAGTGAAGTGATGTAAAGAGGTCTGATTTATCCAAGTTGCTGCACACCAATTAAGTGAATTGTACATTCAGAACATAGCAGGTGTACCCATTGGGCCCTCACAGAGTAGCTTGCTGACACTGAAAATTCAGTCAGAGAATGGAAAAGAAAATGGACACTGCATGGGAGCGCGACTGTAATTGACCTGCTTGGCTTTCTGTTTTATCTGCAGATTTGAGAAGTATAATAAGGATGGAGCTACGCTCTTTGCGACTGTAGGCTACATGACAGTCTATAATTACTATGTGTACCCAGACAAAACCCGGCCACGTGTAAGGTAATTGGCAGTATAACACGTGCCTTGTCTTTTATTTCAGAAGAAGGAACTGCTGAAGTTTCCAATACTTGTTATAATAGTGTTGATTTGTTTTTTTAAAAATCACCATTATTCATTGACTCTGTACTGATTTATTTCATTGTCCTTGTAAAACAGTATGGAAGAGTAAACCAATTTTGAGTATCTTGATAATTTTTGGATTTCTTCAAGATTGACTGAAAAATTATAAATCTTAAAATACCCATAATGTAGTAATTTGCAATTTTTTGTAGCAACCATGATGTTATAAAGTTTTAATTTTAGAAATTTGTTTACTGTAGTCAGATGCTGATACTGACTCCATTTCAAGGTCAAGGCCATGGTGCTCAACTTCTTGAAACAGTTCATAGATATTATATTGCATCTCCTTCAGTTCTTGATATTACAGGTAAGTAAAATTTGATGCTACTGAAAGAACTTTGAAAAACATCTTCCTTAGTAGTTTTTTTTTTTTTTTCAAAAATAACTATTCTATTTTAAACAGCAGCACTCTGAGGTCTTGTTTTGGCCATTTCAGATTGTCATGAAGGGTTGTGATCAGCATTTTCTGCAGGATGTTAGAAGTTTCATGGCACTGTCATTATTGTTACACATGATAGGCTACCTGTCTCCTCTAATTTATTGTTACATTATCTCAGATTTGTGTGACAGTAGTTTGTGCACATGAAACTAAAACTAATCCTTTGCTAGAAATTGTTTATTGCTTAAGGCTACTCTTTTTTTTTTTTTTTTTTTTTTTTTTTTTTTTTTTTTGGAAAAGTTTTGCTTAAGGCTTCTCTTTTTTTTTTTTTTTTTTTTTTAGTTTTTTAGTTTGAGATGGAGTCTTGCTATGTAGCCCAGGCTGGCCTTGATCTCTCAGTGATCCTCCTGCCTCAGCCTCCTGAGTGCTGGGATAACATGTGTGTGCCACCATGCTCATCTTTTAAGACTACATTTTAAGTCATAAGTCTTTGTAGAGATTTGATTGCATCCCTAACTGTAAAGTGCTTAATTGAACAAATTGAAGATCATGAACTGATTATATATGGGAAAATCTTGGTCAGGCGTAAACACATTAAAAGTAACAGTTTATTTGGCAGTAACATACATCATTTAGAGGGTGCTCATTTCTTTTTCATGTAGGGATGGAATTTTCTATACTTTTGGAAAAAAAGGTAAATAGTTGCTGAATAGAATATATATATCCTAAACTATGTGTTTTATATTACTAAAATTCATGTCTTCACAGCAGTAGTGGATAAGGTAAAATGTAGGCCTGTTTGTTTTGGGAAATCTTTTAGTGTAGATTAGCCACAGAAATAATATTATGAAATGAGTGCTTTGGAAAAGAAAAGAAACCCTGCCTTTTAAAAAGAGAAGGCACCATCAGATTTATAGATGATAGAATCCTTTCTTTTTTTTTTTTTTTTTAATATTGGGATTGAACCCAGCACCTTTGCATTGAGCTACATCCTGATACCTTTTTTTACCTTTTTGCCCAGGCTGGATTTGAACTGTGATCCTTTTGCCTTAGCCTCCCAGAATGCTGGGATTACAGTAAGGCATGTGGCATCACTCCTAGCCAGAGGATAGTGTTTTAACATGTGAACCATTGAAGAACAAAGAGACTCAAGGAACATTTATGTTATCATTATCAAATTTGTTGCTTATAAAGTTTCTGATTAAATTGAAAGTTACCCTTTCTTTTCCCATGAAAAATACTACAGCAGCCAAGCATCCCAAATTCAAAATCCAAAAGTTGTTGTGTGCCAACATAACACTTAAAAAACTTTGGATTTCTGAAGCCATTTGAATTTTCAGATTATTTATGCTGAACCTGGAAAATCTATGCAAATATGCCCAAATCCTAAAAGCTTAGAAATCTGAAACACTTCTGGTTCCAAGCATTTCAGGTGAGGGTTGTTCTGGGAGTGTATCTCAGTAGTATAGCTTATATTTCTTATTCAGGAGGCTCAGATTTCAATCACCAAAACAACCCTTCAGATAAAGGTCACTCAACCAGTACCAGATATTCACAGTCAAATTAGGTATTAAAATTTATTCTAGGAGCTCCAGTGGTGTAATTGGCTAGTATATGGTAGTTACATAAAATTTATTCTACAAGCTTGAATACTTAATTTATTAAGTTTTAAAATTCCCTAAAATGTCAATTCGTTTTAAAATGCTGTGTCAGAATTTTGTTTATTTAAAGATACCAAAAAAATAACTGAATATAGAACTAGCAAATTTATAAATAGCCTAGTAGGCAGACTCTCAGTCACTCCCCTTTTCACATAGTAATGGTTTTGCTTGTCCAACGTAAATAAATTTGCTCCACAATAGTGACTTGATCCTGTAGATTAATAAACTAGAGGAAAAGCACATTGTTCTCATTTTTGCATTACTGATGATTGAAATTTAGGGCTTCATTTATACTAGGCAAGTGTTCTGCCACCAAACTAGAGTCCCACCCAGCCCAACATGTTTTTTTTAAAGGGAGTTCCACATTTATAGAATTGAATTATCTTTTCATTTGATGTCCTCCTCTAAATGAGCTGGAAACAGAAGATAAAGTAGTTTATATCAAACCTAATTTGTATCAAGTTATAAATTATTTAAGTGACACTTTTGTTTAGTGACTTGTAAAAATATAGAAATAATTTTAGAAATATAGTAGAAATTATATCACTTTGCTGAAAGTTAAAGTTGCTTAGCTTCTATTTAGTTACAGAACTTGGACTTGGGACTATACGAAGGAACATTTTTGGTGATTTTAATCTGGAATTCACACAAGTAGTCTTTGTCTACTCTAGTGGGTAATGTGCCAGCAGGAGTTGTTTCTCTGAAGCCTCTTAACCACTTTCTTCTGTCTACTCCAGCCAATAAAGTCCTTGATACTTAGCACCAATTAGCAGATAAAGAATTTTTTTCTTAAATCTCAGTGAAGAGTCATCAATAATAGTAGCCTTTATTCGTTGCTGTTATTCATTAGAAAATGAAGTCTTTAAAAAGAAGCTAAACATGCTAAAGGACTTCTGAATTTGACAATGGGGTATCAGCTTTTATTTTCAGCTTTAACGTTTCCTAGCATTATAAAATACTAAAAATGCCTTATCAGCTATTCTCATTAAGATAATCTAGACTTCCATACTTGAGCTTTTTTAAAAAGCCAAAACAAAACAAACTGAAGGAAGTTTCTATACTTCAATCATTTTAGTTACCTATTTCTCTATTATCTTGTATTATATATATATTTTTTAACTGTGGATGTTTAGCAGGCTTTGTATCTCCCTTTGCAGTTCAGTGTATTTACGTTGAGTAGGCCTTTGCTTAGTTGACATACAAGCAGGTATAATAATAATCAAAACTTGCTATCAGTGGCCTAGGTTGTATTTTACTTCCAATGGATGTTTGTGGTTTGTGATATTACTGTTAATTTCTGGCTTATTACTCAATTTTAAGGTAAAATACTGACACAATTCCCTTTAAAATAGTCTATTTTCCTTTTGCAGATATCTTTTTAAGATGTATAGCATTTTAAAACATCTCTATGTAATCTTACGGAACAGTTTGTTTCCTCTAAAACTATTATTATTATTATTATTATTATTATTATTATTATTATTATTATTATTGTTATTATTACTAGGTTCCAGAGATCGAACTCTGGACCTTGTGCTTGCAAGGCAGGCAGCGGAACCACTGAGCTAAATCCCCAGGCCACCTCTAAAATTCTGAAGGAGATCACATTTGGCAATAAGAACTGATCCTGGGCTCGAATACATATCAGTGTTAATAATCTATCAGTAGTGTGTTATGAGCTAACTGTATGGTTCTGGGATATGTTATATAGTATTAAAGAATATTAGATGGAAATTTTTTATACCTAGGTGACTTGTGATATCTCATTTCCCTTTAGTGTATGATTTTTTTCTATCTAATGTATCTCATTAATATGGAGAGGCTTTTAAAATGATAGAAGAGCACTTATGTTGTTAGATGATGTATTTAATTTGTAAAAAACTGCTTTTGATCTTGCATATCACTATATTCAAGCAAATTTCATCTTTTAAATATATTGCTTATCTTTGCAACACAGAAATAAGGGAATTAAAGATGTCACAAATTATTAGGTGCTATCATTTTAAGTTCATTTTCCGGCTGGCACTTTTAAAGAGCCTTTAAGGATTGAGTGGTGACATGGCCTTATATTAAGCTAAAAGCAAAATATGTTCAGTCTTTAATTTAGACTTATATTAAAACTAATTGTAAATTTTTTGCATTTTTTATTTATGTGAAATTTTTAGATAAGAATGTAGAATGCTATTTTAGATTTTCTCTGCTGTAATTCATTTTGATTTGATACTTTTTTTCCTTAAACTTTTCTGGGGGTATATAAATTACTTGAGTTTTTACTGGACTTTTATTTTAAATCAAAATTAACAGTGTAGTTCTTTTCCCCAAACCTGTTTACAAATATTATACCTTATCTATTGTTTTGTTTTGTTTTTTGACACAAACTCTTATTACATAGCCCAGGCTGGCCTTGAACTCACAACTGTCCTGCCTCAACCTCCCAGGTGCTGGGATTATAGGTGTACACCACTGTACCTAGCTTGTTTTTTAAGATAGGGTCTCACTAGGTAACCTAGGCTGGTCTTTAACTCACCGTCCTCCTTTCTCAGCCTCCCAAGTGCTGAGATTACAGGTGTGCACCACCATTCCTTCATCTGTTAGTACTTCTAAAAATATTTTTGTCAGGGCTGGAGGCATCATTCACTCGTAGAGCACTTGCTTAGCATGCACGAGGCCCTGGATTCAATATCCAGCACTGAAAAGAAAAAAGAGAGAGAGATGCTTGTTTATCACTTAAGAATTTTTAAACAGTTCTATTGAGGTCTGATTTCCATATCATAAAATTCACCAACTTAAAGTGTGTACAGTTCAGTCAATTTTAATAATCTACAACCATTATCACAGGCCTGTTTTAGACTTACTTCCATCACTTAAAAAGATCCCTTATGGATGTTTGCAGTCAGTCCCTATCCCCACATCCAATCTCCTTAAGGTCTTTGATACAGTTTAACTTAAATATTATATATATTCTAAGTTTCTAGGTTCATCTTTTTGGATACTGAATTGCCTTGGTATCTTTGTTGAAAGTAAACCCTGAATATGTTGCCTTATCTCTGTACTCTAATGATCTGAACATTTATCCTTACACTAGAATCACACTGTCTTGATTAGTTTATTACAGCATTATAGAGTGATGGTAATGGTACTTTTGTAGTAGTGGGGTTAGAACCTGGGCTTTATACTAAGCTGTATCTCCAGCCCTTTTTATTTTTCATTCTGAGACAAAGTCTTGCTAAATTGCCCAGGCTGGCCTTGAAGCTGTGATTCTTCTGC